CCCAAGGATCCACGAACCCCATTTTCCCAAATCTTTATGTAGACAGGGACGCTGTATAAACACTAGCGTCGCCTTCAATTTGTAAATCCACGAACGGTGTCTCTGAGCTGCTTTACCTCGCACTAGGACGCCATCCCACCGCTTGCCACCAATGTAACGGATTACCTGGCTCCCCGACTGGGTACCTCCGTTGAAGGATGCTCCTAGTGCTTCCTGAGGACTCTAAGCACTGCAGCAGACACCACAACCACCGATTCGGAGAAGCATATGAATGCTCTCAAGCATATGAATGTTGTATACAGCCAAATAGGAAAAACCATGCGAATAGGTTTACACTCCTAGCAGTCAAACTGGAACAGCATACAATAAATCCTCCCCCAATAATGAGACGACACTTCACTTTGAGGGTTAAGCAGGAACTCCTGTGCTGGCACACCCAGCCTGGTTTTTATTACAGTCTTTCACATACAGGACCACCAATCACATATCAGTTACATCCCACATATTCCCTCCCCTTATCCTGAGAGGAAACTCAATTACACATACAGTTAAAACATACTTTCTACCCAACTTTCATAACTTTAAAACCATACATCCCATTCACATAAAATTACATATTCACAATCAATCCATTCAGGGGAACAACATATTAAAAAATGGCATGAATCCGACCAGGGGTTCAAAAGTTAGTAAAAGTATCTTTTGGGCCCTGGCTGTCACATGGCTATCTGGCTCAAACAGGTTTTACAGAGCCCTCTATCCTGGAGACAATGGGGAAAAGTAATCCAATTATCCAGGGATAGAGGCAGACTCCATTGAGCACATGGTTGCAAAAAGACATAAAACACTTTAAAATACATAAAGTCACCTTTTACATATAACACACAGACATTTCACATATCCCCAGATAGCTGGGATCTGAGCGCACAAAACTACCGAATAGAGCTCAGATCCTATTCACACAGCTCAATTGCCATGGAGCCGAAGTCTTTAACTACACGAATGGGCTCCATGGCATAGCTATCTGGGTTAACACATTCACATAAAGTCTGGTCCATAGTCCAAAGGCAAGAGGCGGGCAAGCAGCCCCCTCCAAGGACACGTGACGAGGTCGGTTTCGCCACACATGTGACTCGCCGAAAGGGATTAAAACAGTAGTATGCCGCGAGCATTTTCTTATAATGCGGCATGAGATGGAAATAGTGTGAAGTGAAAAATTGGATATCTAGTTTAATTGTTAAAAACGAGCAATATGGAAGGTATAAATAAAAAAAAAAACGAATTTGAGGCAGTCACGTGGTGCGCAATGACGCGCTGAACAATGTGACTCGCCGAATAGGATTTTGGGAATGGTATGCCGCGGGCACTTCTTTGTTGTGTGGCACAAAGTGAAAATGGGCTGGGTGAGTTGTAAGACCACCTGATTGGTCTGGGGAGACGGCATTAGATGGCAATCAACACACTATGTGTGGTGCCGAAATGGAGTGTGGGAAATGGAGTCCTCAGACACAAAATGGCTAAATATAGCCACAGTACATATTAATTAAGTAAAAAAAAATAGTAAAATGGAATAAATATTCTCTATAGAAAAGAGTGTTGTATTAAATAATACTAGGAATATGGTCACCTTGATAGGGAAGAAATAGTGCTATTTATTAGCAACGGTTAAAAGGGATAAATACAAATGGTTCTATGTAAAGGAGGGAATATATATAAAAGAAAGGGAAAAATTCTAAGAGTGAAAACAATATAAAAATGTAAAAAGTAGCCTACCTGATAATGCCAAAGATGGGAGTTAACTCTTAAATGTGTAAAGATATGGATTATGGAAATCTTAGAAATGAAAATGAAAATATGTAAATACTATTGTAAAAGGAAAAGAAAACCAGAAGACAGGAGGAAAAGACAAACAGCAATATATATAAAAATCTGAATAAGTATGAAAAAAAAAATTATTTGTAAAAATGTCAATACTAAAAATGTCATTGAAGTTTAACCCCTTAAGGATGGAGCCAAATGTACACGTTGTGAACAAAACAACATGTAAACAAAACCTGGCATTTGCGCTACATGTCTGTCCAACCGTAATTCACCTCTTTCATAGTAAATGCACCCACCCTTATTATATATCATTTTATTCAGGGGAAACAGGGCTTTCATTTTATATCAAATATTTAGCTATGAAACATAATTTAATATGAAATAAATGGGAGAAAATATGATTTTTTTTGATTTTTTTAGTTCTACATGACATTTTAACGGTCAATGTCATAATACTGTTTGCTTTTACTGCAATAAAATACACATATTTGTATTCAGTAAAGTCTCACACGTAAGACAGTAACCCCTATGTACAGGTTTTATGGCGTTTTGGGAAGTTACAGGGTCAAATATAGCACGTTACATTTGAAATTGAAATTCGCCAGATTGGTTACGTTGCCTTTGGGACTTTATAGTAGCCCAGGAAAGAAATTTACACCCATAATGGCATATCATTTGCAATAGTAGACAACCTAAGGTATTGCAAATGGGGTATGTCCAGTCTTTTTTAGTAGCCATTTGGTCACAAACACTGGCCAAAGTTAGCGTTAGTATTTGTTTGTGTGTGAAAAATGCAAAAACGCCAATTTTGGCCAGTGTTTGTGACTAAGTGGCTACTAAAAAAGACTGGACATACCCTGTTTGCAATACCTTGGGTTGTCTACTACTGCAAATGGTATGCCATCATAGGGTAATTTTCATTCTTGGGCTACCATAGGGTCTCAAAGGCAACGTAACCAATCTGGCGAATTTTAATGTGAAATAAATGAAACGCAAGCCTTATATTTGACACTGTAACTTTTGAAAACACCATAAAACCTGTACATGAGGGGTATTGTTGTACTCGGGAGACTTAGCTGAACACAAATATTTGTGTTTCAAAACAGTAAAAAGTATCACAGCAATAATATCGTCCGTGTAAGTGCTGTTTGTGCATGAAAAATGCAAAAAACATCACTTTTACTGGCGATATCATCGTTGTAATACATTTTACTGTTTTGAAACACTAATATTTGTGTTCAGCGAAGTCTCCCGAGTAGAACAGTAACCCCCATGTACAGGTTTTATGGTGTCTTGGAAAGTTATAGGGTTAAATATAGTGCTAGCAAATTAAATTCCCTTTACTTTCGGCATGGGTTGTCAGGCAGATCTAATTGTAATTAATTAAGATACCTAATTATGTAAAAATATTACATAAATATATATGTAGAATTAATATATGTATATATATACGTATGTGTATATATATCTATATAATTTTTTTAAAATATTTTTATTTATATATAGGTATATATATAGTGATATATACGTATATATTTATGTATATATATATATATATATATATATATTCGTTCTACGTGTATTTTGATATATATATATATATATATATATATTAATATCACAATCCAGTTAGAACGAAATAACACATCTATATATTTTTTATTTATTTTTTATTATTTTTTTAATTTTATTTTTTAACGTATTTACATTTTTATTTTTTTTATATTATATATAAATTTATATATAACAATAATTATATATATATTTAATCAGTATCAGTCTACGTGTAATTTGATATTAATATATATATATATATATATATATATATATATATATATATAATTATATATATTAATAGTAAAATACACCTAGACGGTGTACGTGTGTGTATGTATATGTGTATATATATATACTTAGATCATATATATATATATATATATATATATATATGATCTAAGTATATATTATTATTTTTTTACACTATTTATTTTATTTAATTTTATTTTCAGCCAGCAGGGGGACCACCTGTCATTACAGGCAGCCCCCCTGCTGGCAATGCTGCAGCCAGCTACCCCCGGCCATGTGATTGTGGGGTCCTCGCAAGGACCCCACTCTCACATGGCCAGGGGGCTTCCAGGACGTCGGAGGTGCCGCGGAGGGCTCCCTGGGAGTCCCCCGAAACGCGATCGCCGGCGTGGGATCACCGGCGACCGGGTAAGTAGGAAAAGACCGGAGGGCGTACTTTTATGCCCGGCAGCGTTTAGAGCCGCTTAGAATAGGGCGTAATAGTCGCTTAGAATAGGGCGTAATAGTACGCCCTCCGGTCTTAAGGGGTTAAATCAATTCAATCAATTGATTATTTTTGTGTATCTGCCCCTGTCCAAATTAAGAAACAATGCGTTCACGCTCCCTGAAGCAATTCACACCAGACACAGGTTTCAGGTTGATGAATAACTTGAGGAATGTTTATTCAGAGGGGACGGCAGGTCCCTTTTAAAGCAAAATTACATCATAAGCATTATCAGAGATAACATGAAATAATACTTTATTAGTTGGTTAGGTGTTAAGTGGTTTCTTTAATGCTCTGCCTACTAAGGGTGATGTCACTGAGACCATGAGGGTCTCCCCCAGAATCCAGCGCCATCTTGTTACATGAGGTAGTTAATCGGTGTTATAGGGAGGGAGGGGTTAGAAGCTTCTAGTGGCCATTTTGTCTAAATATGTGTTAATAGCTTATGCACTGATTTCGGTTAAATGAGTAAATAGACATTTTACTAACTAGAAAATAAGTCAATATCTCATTTCCACAACAGTCCCCCCTTAAAATGGCTATTTACCATAACAACCGCTACTGTCCCTAACATGTCCCTAGCTGCTTGCAGCTCATCTGTCTTAACAAGCATCGAACACTTCACTCCGTGGGTAACCCACGGCAGCTAGTCCACCACATCTCCGCACGTGAGACCTGCCTGTAGAGACAGACACTTTCCCTATTCTATCCCTACAGAAATGCAGTTGTCTGTTTAAATTGGTGGGATTGGAGGTGTGTATGTGGTGTATCACATTCTAGATCAGTGACGTCCTGGTGTAGGAAAGTAGGGGTTACGTGGTCAATAGTCTTCCCTACTGTCTTCTGTAAGTACTTTTGTATACAAAACAACATGTTAAGAATAGGAAGATGATAATCATTATGAGAACTGCTGTGCCAACCATTCATCCATCCAAACCATCTGTCCCAGGTGTCAGTGACCCCTGAATTCATTTTTAATTCATCTGAAAGGCTGTCTATTTTCTTTATAGCCATAGTCACCTTACCATTGGGCCCAGTGTTATCTGGAATAAATGTGCAGCATGTCATGGTTTCGGGGAGGATTTTACATACGCCCCCCTTTTCTGCTAAGATCATATCCAGAGCCATTCTATTTTGAAATGTCATTTGGATGGTAGCTTGCAGCTGTTCTGCTAGGCCCTGTAGGGCATCTCTAGTGTAGTTAACAAACCGCTGCTGATTATAATAGATGTAATTAATCCAATTGACATTTTTATTAGCTGTAATCATTAGAATTAAAGATTCAAACCCGGCTGCCACTTCATCCCTTGCTTTGAATTCGTTGGGCACCCCCCTTGGCACACCAATGGCATCAATATAAACATGTGGATCAAAGCTACCACGGATTGGAGTGTGTGTGTGTGTGGGATCTAACACATTGTGATGACCATCCGGGATAATGTGGATAGGCATTATGGCTTTGGTTAGTGTACATTCTCCCCACCATAGCCCCGTTAGTTGGGATCTCAGTTGCTTATCACCACACAGCCAATATATGTCCCCAACTGTTTTTGCATGATTCATTAACAGTGCTGTGGGTGGATTATGATAGGTGGAGCAATAACCAGATGGGAATTTGCCCATGAATGTACCTGTGTTCTTAGGTATTGAATAGCAAGTGTAGTTACCTGGGTATACAGTGACTCCATCAGGTGGTCTAACGTGCCCCTGAATGATTGGGTAGACCTTTTTCCATGACTCACACGTTGAGGAGTTAGTGGTGGACTGTGCATAGAGACTCAAGACACAAAATTCAACATCAGGAGGTAGGTTTAAAGGTACCGTATCCAGGTGGGGCCTGGCTCCCCCACATACATAACAGTTAGTCTTGTTGTGTGATATCTCATCCATTCCAGCCATAAGTTAGTGTCTGAGAACCCAGTCTCCATTGCCATCGTGTCTTCGAAAGTAGAATTAGCTATAGCAACCATATCATGTAAAGTCTTGATACGTGGTTTAAGTGGGTTGACAGTCATGTGTGTAGTTCCTACCCAGTCAGGTGAGGTAAGCATGTCTTGCAGGTAGAATGTCCACATGACCCCCCTGTTAAGCAGATATATGGATCCTTCTTACTAGGTATGTCCTTGTATATAGCAGCATGTTGTGTTTGTGGGAAGGTGCATGCAACAATATCACAGTAATCAAAAGAAAAGGTAGCCACATCTGTTTGAGGAATTGTACCAAAAAGTGTAAACATGGTTATCTTTGGTTATAGCCACTTGTTGGGCCCCTGTAAAGTTTAGCAGCAAGAGAAAACACAAAGAAAACAGAAAACTCATGGCTCAGCAGGGGCAACTTCTTCCGGAGCAGGCACTTTCTTGCAGTGTGAAGCGTGTATCCAGGAACTCTTCCCTGCCAATTTCACTGAGGTAGCTGTAATCAGCAACACTTGGTAAGGACCATCAAACCTTGGCTCAAGAGTGTGTTTTCTGAGGAATTTCTTGACCATAACCCAGTCACCAGTGAGCAACTTGTGTGTACCTGTATTCAACTCAGGATCTGGAATAGAAGAAAACACTTGGGCATGGATTTTGGTCAAAGCATGAGAGAGAGCAGTCACATAATCTACCATAGCGTCTGACTGAATCTGAAGCTGTTGGGGGAAGTAACAACCTAACCTTGGTGCTGTACCGAACAGGATCTCATAGGGAGATAAGTTGTGTTTTCCCCTAGGAGTGTACCTCACACTAAATAATGCTAATGGAAGACTCTCAGGCCAGGGCATGTTAGTATTTTGGGACATCTTAAGTATTCTGGCCTTCAATGTGCCATTCATGCGTTCTACCTTACCACTGCTCTGTGGGTGATATGGTGTGTGCCCAGACTTCCCGTGTCAATGAGGCGGTAAAGGAAGTTCCTTGGTCACTTTCAATCACCTCTGGAACACCATACCGGCAAACAATTTCCGTTAGAAGATGTTTAGCTGTAGTTCTTGCGGTGAGATTGGCCACTGGGAAGGCTCCTGGCCATCCTGAGAACATGTCCACAATGACTAATGCGTATTCTTAGCGTCCACTCTTTGGCATCTGAATATGGTCAATCTGTATCCTCTGGAAAGGATATTGTGGTTTGACCAAGTGGTTGGGTGCAGTTTTAACAATCTTCCCAGGGTTACATTTAGCACAAATTGCACAAGATCTTCAATAATTCTGTGTTAGAGTAGTAATACCCGGTGCTTCAAAGTATTTATCAATCAAGGAGTTCATCAGGTGTTTAGACAAGTGGGCTGGTCCATGAGCCCATTGGACAACAGCTGGATACATATTCTTGGGTAGACAAAACTTAAGATTAATGGTGTAAACGTCATCTAGGAGAATGGCCCCCCTGCTCTTCCAACTCTGTTTTTCTTGGGGGGTCGCAGCAGCTTGTTGTTCCTTCAGGAGTCTGAGATCTGTAGGTAATGTTTGCATAGTATACTTGGTTGTTGATTCAGTGGCCACTCTTCTGTCCACTTTCCACCCTTGTCGTGCTGCATCCTTGGCGGCTTCATCAGCCAAGTGGTTGCCTCGTGCTTCTTCCGAATTCAGCCTCCTGTGGTCTTTCACTTTGAGCACTGCCACTTCTGATGGGAGTATTAGGGCATCCATTAGTTCTTCAATGGCTACGCCATGCTTTACTGGAGTACCGGTGGCTGTGAGATATCCTCTAGTTTTCCAAATTAGGCCAAAATCATGTGCTACTCCCAGGGCATATCTTGAGTCTGTATAAATGTTGACACGTAGGCCCTCAGATAGTTTACAGGCCACTGTGAGGGCTGTTAGCTCGGCTTCCTGAGCTGATTTGGTTGGTGGAAGTGCTGCTGCTTGTAGTACTTGACATTCTGTGGTAACTGCATATCCAGTGTGATATTGCCCTTGTTCATCAGCAAATCTGGAACCATCTACAAACATTATCTGGTCTGGATTAGGTAGAGCAGTCTCATGTACAGTTGGCAAATGGGTGGTTTCCATCTTCATCTGTTCAAATCAATCATGGGGGGCTTCTGAATCTTGTTCCATGGGAGGGAGATCTTCACAGATCTCTGTATGGTATCGAGGATATCCAACTGTACTGCAGTTGATGATCTTCTTAGTTACTCCCAATGATTCAAGCTATTCTTGCGTGAATGCACTCCAGGATTTGGCCATTGTGCCTAGATCTTTCCATGAGAAGTCAGGGGACTTGGTGAAGGATATGTGTGGGACAGCTGTCTCCCAATGACGGTAAAGGTGGGATACTTCTGTTGGAAGGTGCACTAGCAGGATCATGTTGCCTCCGGAGTCCCATAGCAAGTCTGTCAGTGTGATGTGAATCTCCACAAGTTGAAATAGTTCTTCTTCATAATCCACATCAGGGCCTGTGTTGTCTTTGAACCACAGGGTACAGTGTAACAAGTTCTCTGGTTGCACATCATGAGGAGGTGCTAGAGTAGGTAATTGGAATTCCACCCGGGCATCTGGGTTGATGTCCAGGCTGTACCAGTACTGGGCCACTCCCCCCTTGGGAAGTGGCAGAAGAGTGGCCGGGTTCAATGAGTAGCAGCATTGTAAAGTTACGTTGTCAGGCAGTAACAAGGAAGTTTGCAACCGCATATGACTTGGCTGGGTCTGTTGGAGAATAGCAGAAATATCATGTGGAGCCAAGACAGTCAGAGAATGTCCAAGGACAAAGTCGTTCATTTTGTCCAGGAGGGCACTAGCAGCAAACACTGCCCGCAGGCAGGAGGGACTGCCTCTGGCAACAGGATCAAGCATGCAAGTGAAGTAGCCAATGGGTCTTTGTCTGGAGCCATGTTGTTGAGTAAGAACTCCGGAGGCATGGCCCAGTTTCTCAGACACAAACAACTTGAAAGGCAGCTGGTAATTCGGCAGGGCCAAGGCAGGTGCAGATGCAATGGCTTTCTTTAGAGCAGTAAAACAGGCAATGGCATGCGGTGAGAGTGAGAAAAGCTCACTTTTCAGAGCATCGTATAGTGGTTGCATCAGTTGCGAAGCTTCAGGAATCCAGGATCTGCAATACGTGATGAGGCCTAAAAAGGCATGGAGAGATTGATCAGCAGAAGGAATTGGTAAATTCAAAATGGCCAAGGTCCAGTCCTTGGTAAGGTGACGGGTGCCATGGGAAAGACAATGTCCCAAGAAGACCACTGAGGGCTGGCACCATTGAAGCTTTGATTTAGAGGCCTTGCAGCCTTCTTCAGCTAGGAAGCAAAGGAGATCCTCAGAAACTCATTCAGCAGTCTGGACATCAGCAGCACAGAGAAGTAGGTCATTAACATATTGAAGCAGGACCACGTCAGTGTGTGTCTTTTGCCAGGGTTCCAGAACCATTGACATGGTGCGGGCAAACTGAGTGGGCGAATTCTGAGCCCCCTGAGGCATGACTGTCCATGTATATTGTTGACCTTCATGGGTAAAAGCGAAGAGGTATTGGCAGGATGAATCCAGGGGCACACTGAAAAATGCATTAGCAAGGTTCACAACAGTAAAGATTGTGGCAGAGGGTGGAACCTGTGACAGTAATGTATGTGGGTTTAGGGACCACCGCTGTATCCTTGGCAGTGACATCGTTAACTGCACGTAGATCCTGGACCATGCGGTATTGATCAGGCTGCCCCTTCTCAGTCTTCTTCTTAACAGGAAAAAGGGGGGTGTTGCATGGCGATACACACTTGACAAGGGCTCCCTTGGCCTGGAGGCTTTCCACTTGCTTAGAAATGGCGAGGGCCTGAGTAGGTTTCAGTGGATACTGGGGTCTTTGGGGAGGCGCTACTCCTGGCAGAAGTGTGACCACAACTGGGGGAACTTTAAGGCGTCCAATATCATCAGGACCAGAGCTTTGCAGGGATTTTGTCCAGAGCACTGGGGGCATGAGGGACCCTTGATTCCCCTGTGGGAGATGCAAGATGCAGTAGTATGGGGAGGGAGCAAAGTACTGAAGTGTCTTTTTGTGACAGGGGCGTATTTAGCTGAACTTGGCCATCTGCAGTAAAGGTAATGGATGCTTGGAGACGGGACAGAACATCGGCACCCAAAAGGTTAATGGGGCACGTGGAGGAAAGGGTCTATTACCCTGGTGGAGAGGTGGGCCACGTTCATCAACGTCATCATCCCCCGGAGCGTCATGATCCTCCTGGTAGGAGGCAGCACCCAGGGAAACCGGGCCTGGTACGGCCGGGGTGATGGGAGTCTGGGAAGCGAGAGCCGCGTCATGTGGACTGCCCAATTGTGACGTTGTGGGGTGGTAACCTGATGCCGCTGGAGAAACACCCACAGCGTAGGGCTGGGCCGATGTAGCTGGTTCTTCAGAGCCAACCACCATGAGGGGAAAGCTGGGACTTGGGTCAGAGGCGCACGGGATGGGGGCTGGGCCGGATGGAGTGACACGGGACTGGGCGGGAGGCTGGGCCAGGGCGGAGAGGGCTGAGGTGAGGATAGATAATTCAATAGGGAGTGTAGGAGGGGGAGGGTCCATGGGTGAGGTAGGAAGGGCTGGGCGGGTCAGAGCCGAGAGGGCGGAGAGGAGGGAAGACAGCTCAGCAGGAAGAGATGGGGGAAGGGGGGAAGGGTCTACGACAGGAGGGGCTTCGGGGAGCAAGGGAGGAGGAGCAGGATGAAGTGAAGGCTCGAGAGTGGCAGAGAGGGCTGTGAGAAGGGAGGACACCAGATTAGTAGAGGAACCAGAAGTATTAATGGTGGGAGAGGAACTGGAAGTAGTAGTAGTAGTGAGATTAGTAGAGGGAATGAAAGACTCAGAAGTAGTAGGGGTAGGGTTGGGGGGTGTGACGGACGTGACGGAGGTTGGGGTCAACGGGGCGGGATTGGGATCGGGGGTAGGAAGGGCTAATGGTGAGACAATGGAAACAGGCGGGGACTTCGATCGGGGTGGTGGACAGGGAGGTGACGTGGAGGGATTGGAAGCTGGGAGGGGACTGGGAGCTGGGAGGGGACTGGGAGGACGCGCTGGGACGGGGCTAGATCGGGGGAAGGGAATGGCTGGGCTATGGGGACGTGGGGAAAAGAATGTAACGGTACTGGATAGTAATAAGCTCTGTCAGCTCCGAGCACAGGACATAAGGGGGTGGGACCATGTAACCCCAGCCTCTCTCTTTAGGTTGTAACCCTGTACAGTAATCCCACCTTTCAGGTTGATGAATAACTTGAGGAATGTTTATTCAGAGGGGACGGCAGGTCCCTTTTAAAGCAAAATTACATCATAAGCATTGTCAGAGATAACATGAAATAATACTTTATTAATTGGTTAGGTGTTAAGTGGTTTCTTTAATGCTCTGCCTACTAAGGATGATGTCACTGAGACCATGAGGGTCTCCCCCAGATTCCAGCGCCATCTTGTTACACGAGGTAGTTAACCGGTGTTATAGGGAGGGAGGGGTTAGAAGCTTCTAGTGCCCATTTTGTCTAAATATGTGTTAATAGCTTATGCACTGATTACGGTTAAATGAGTAAATAGGCATTTTACTAACTAGAAAATATGTCAATATCTCATTTCCACAACAGTCATAAAAAGTTAAAAAGATCAAATTCAACATTGAGACCTTCTGGGTTGTGTGTGCGAATGTCTAAATAATGGTCCTCATTTTCTAGCTCTGAGTCTATAGACAGCAGTTGGTCATACTTTAAGTTTTATTCAATACACATACATCTTTTTATATAAAACCATTTGTATTTATCCCTTTTAACCTTTGCTAATAAATTGCACTATTTCTTCCCTATCAAGGTGACCATATTCCTAGTATTATTTAATACAACACTCTTTTCTATAGAGAATATTTATTCCATTTTACAATTTTTTTACTTAATTAATATGTACTATGGCTATATTTAGCCATTTTGTGTCTGAGGACTCCATTTCCCACACTCCATTTCGGCACCACACATAGTGTGTTGATTGCCATCTAATGCCGTCTCCCCAGACCAATCAGGTGGTCTTACAACTTGCCCTGCCCATTTTCACTTTGTGCAGCACAACAAAGAAGTGCCCGCGACATACCATTCCTAAAATCCTATTCGGCAAGTCACATGGTTCAGCGCGTCATCGCGCACCACGTGACTGCCTCAAATTCTTTTTTTAAATAATACCTTTCATATTGCTCGTTTTTAACAATTAAACTAGATATCCAATTTTTCACTTCACACTATTTCCATCTCATGCCGCATTATAAGAAAATGCTCGCGGCATACTACTGTTTTAATCCCTTTCGGCGAGTCACATGGCCTAGCGCGTCGTCACGCACCATGTGACTGCCCATAATTTTATTTTTTTTATTTAAAATCCTTTTAAATTGCTTGTTTTCAAGAATAAAACAATGTAAGAAACCCTGTAAATCCTACGAAATATGTACATATGTTTATTGTTTTGTTTTATATCATATGTAAATTGTAATTATAACGTAATTTTGGCGCCAAAATTTGAATAATTTAATGTTTGTAAATACCTACTCTTATGTACCAGGTTTGTTCTTATTGCCACTTGATGAAACTTTTTCTGGTGAAACGCGTTTGGCTGTTTTTTTAATGTATTTTATTATTTATTGGTAAAGGAATATTGGCCCCTAATATTGTGCTAGTGCCATATACCTTATTTTTATTCATTTTTTATTGTTTTTATCATTTTTACCTTGTTATTGCATACGTTGGATTATTCACTCACTCAAGAATGCCAGGTGGGGATTATCCCACCTACGCCTATAAAGTGAGCACTGTTTTCCTGCTCACTTATATGTGAGAAGTATACCTTTCTAATATTCTTATCCGTTATTGCTATATACAGAGTGCACTATTTGTTTTTATCTTCTTCTTCATACCAAGGACCTGTACCTACCAACACCTATTCCTACCAGTCGGGCATCAACGCCACTGAATGCTATACACTCCTGAGCTGGCTAAAGCTCTACAATAGGTGAGTGAAAAAGATTGTTTTTATTGCCATCATCATCTTTCCAGTACAGTTTTACACTATTGGAATTTATCTCTTATCTGCATGCTTCCACATCATCCAGATACCTGATTTCTTTGGATCCCACAAGCCCGATCGATTCCATTTACTTATGTTTTAAATCAAACTTGGACTACTGTTAATCTTATACTTTTTTCAGGACTTTATTCAATTTTTACTAATTTCTATGTAAGTACGCATTGTTTTTACTAATATTGTTTTTACTACTATTGTATTACAATTTTGGTGCGACCTATTTTCTGGTTTTTACTACTGTACTATTTGTTGATGTATTGTGAGGGAATACTAATACTAATAAGGTATGGCCCCTTAGGTTGCGGCCCATACCTTATTAGTATTTAGCTGTTTATTGGCCTCTAAGTGCTGATCCAATTGCCACTTACACATACACTAGCTAACAGACATACACACTCACTAACAAACACATACAGTCACTAACAGACATGCATACACTATCACTAACATACACACTCACTAACAGACACACATACTAACACACTCCCTAACAGACACACACATATAGTAACACACTCCCTAACAGACACACACACTCACTAACAGACACACACACACACTCACAAACAGACACTCACATTTTTTTTTTAAATTCAATCCCCCCAGCCTCCTTACCTTTGGGAATGCTGGGGTGGATTAACACTTTCCCTGGGGTCCAGTGGGGCTGCTGGGTGGGCGGCCGGACAGTGACTGCAGTCGACGAGGGAGTACTGATCCTACTGTTCAGCTCCCTTGCGCACCGCGTAGTGATGCCGGAGCCGGAATGACATCATATTCCGGCTCCGGCATCACTGCGGTGCGCACGAGGGAGCCAAACAGGAGGATCATTGTGGGCAGCAAGAACGGCTAGGACGTTTTATGCCGCCCGCCGGCGTTTAGAGCAAGCCCTTTAAGGACGGCATAGAACGCCCACCGTCCTTACAAGCCGATATATATATATATATATATATATATATAGATAGATGCACACACTTACTGAATTGTGCCAACTGCAGCTATTTAACTGCAGTCAAACTATAGTTGATAAGAGCTGCTCACCTGTATATACAACTCTTATTTTTTAACCTTTGTTTATATTAGATTTTGCAAGGGGTTTTCTCTTTTTTATGCTAGATATAGTCAGACTATATAGAGTGTGTGGTGTGTTTTGTTCATTGTCCAAACAGGACTGTGACAAACTGCCATTTGCCACTGGGCATTGGAGAGGACTGGTTCCCCGCCTGCTGCCTTTAGACTATGGCCCCATGTTGAAACGCTTGATTTTCCCCTGCAAAGACATGAAAGCCGGGTGGCCCTATGGATGCCTATGATGGGAAAACAGCCCAGGTGGGAGTTGGTAATGCAGCTTAGGTCTCTGACATGGAGGGAACTGGGGCTCAACTACACATACCAGGCGCTACATTGGTATGCAGTTCAGCGTGTTCCCGGGATGGCTAAGTGCGACAGACCAGAGGGCGAGGATTACAATGGCCCTGGCCTCTTATGGGACGCCTTTGCCAGACCAAGGTTCGGGGACGCTGCAGAGTCACAGCTATGGGACATATATGAATCCAGAGCAACCATACTAGATCTCCCTATGGATGAAGACCTAGAGCCAGACCTGTTTGAATTGGCCATCCAGGAATGGGAACTGGAGCAGGATTACCAGTACCTACTCAGCTCCAGTCAGTCCCAGTATAACTTGGAGGTACCGCCAGGGCAGTGGGAGTCCCAGGGAGAGGAGAAAACCCGTCTTTCTCCCCAGCAACAGTGTTCTGCAGGGAGAGGAGGCAACCGGCCTCTCTCCGCAGCGGCAGTGTTCCCTACAGGGAGTGGAGACAGCAGGTTTCACTCCCCAGTGGCAGGGTGAGTTCCAGGGAGGGGAAACAACCGGTCTCTCTCCCCAGCAGCAGTGTGACCTGCAGGGAGAGGTGGCAGCCGGCCTCTTTCCCCAGCGGTAGTGTTCCCTACAGGGAGTGGAGATAGCGGGTCTCACTCCCCAGCGGCAGGGTGAGTTCCAGGGAGAGGAGACAACCGGTCTCTCTCCCCAGCAACAGTGTGTTCTGCAGGAAAAGGAGGCAGCCGGCCTCTCTCCCCAGTGGCAGTGTTCCCTACAGGGAGTGGAGACAGCAGGTCTCATTCCCTAGCCGCAGGGTGAGTTCCAGGGAGGGGAGACAACCAGTCTCTCTCCCCAGCAGCAGTGTGTCTTGCAGGGAGTGGAGACAGCCAGCCTCGCTCCCCAGCGGCAGAGTGAGTCCCGGGGAGAGGAGACAACTGGTCTCTCTTCCCAGCAGCAGTGTGCTCTGCAGGGAGAGGAGGCCAGCAGCCTCTCTCCCCAGCGGCAGCTTATCCTACCAAGGGGAGACATCAATCTCCCAGACGGCACAGATGGGACCGTGGTCTCAGTGCCTGACCCACAGGGATGCTGGACAGCATGTCCAGATCCCCAGCTACCATTGCCGGAGTACCCGGAGGAGGGGGTAAGTGATGTCTTCCCCTGGCAAGTCCCCATCAGGCTTGTAACTGTTTATTGTGGGTGTGCTACTCTGGCACTTGCTTATTGTGGGTGGATCGACAATTTTGGTGCGACCTATAGAAGGTCAGGTGTCTGGTTAGTCTTCCCCCCAAAGGGGAGATATGTGACAAACTGCCACTTGCCACTGGGCATTGGAGAGGACTGGTTGCCCGCCTGCTGCCTTTAGACTATGGCCCCATGTTGAAACGCTTGATTTTCCCCTGCAAAGACACGAAAGCCGGGTCATTTAGTACTTGCCCTATTTGAACAGTGATACCCCAGATAGCTATGCCATGGAGTCCATTCGTATAATGAAAGACTATGTGAAAGACTTTGGCTCCATGGCAATTGAACTGTATGTATGTGATCTGAGCGCCATTCAGTAATAATGTGCGCTCGGATCTAAGCTATCTGGGGATATGTTGAATGTACCTGTTTTATGCAATAGCTGCACAGTTATATATTTTTATGTATTTTATTATCTTTTGCTACCATGTCTTCAATGGAGTTTTGCTTCTGTCCTTGGAGATAATTGGATTACTTCCCAATTATCTCCAGGATAGAAGACTCTGTGGAACTGGTTTTGGGCAGAAAAGCCATGCTTCATTTGGTCACAAAGGACTTCGATTTATCTTTTGATCTATTGGACGGATTTTTATGATTTTTAAGTATATTTATATTTAACCCCTTCAGGACGGGTGACGGACGAGGTCCGTCACAGAGGGGAGACCCTTAACGTCCGTCACGCGGTAAAATTAACCCCGGATCGCCGCTATCGCGGCGATCGCGGGGTTAATTGTGCTCCCGGTATGCCTCTGCATTAGAGGCATACCGGGAGCACCCGGTCAGGCTGCCCAGCACATGTGCTTGCTCTGACCACAAGTCAGAGCGAGCACATGTGCTCTGTATACTCACCTACCGGCTCCCTGCACTTCCGGGTTCTGTGTGAAGTGCAGGGAGCCGGATCAGTGATGATCCTGCCCCCTGCTGGAAAAAAAAATAAAGTTCATTTAAAGTGTCCCCCCCATTACCCATTTTAATAAAAAATTAACCCATTCCCTGCCAATTGATCACTGACTACAGTGATCAATTGGCAGGGATTACATTTTACTATGATCTGATTTTTTTTTTAACCCCTGAGGGTTAATTCTTTTTTTTTTAACCCTCAGGGGTTAAATTAATTAAATTAATTAATTAAATTATTTTTAAATTATATATTTAGATAGCTGGGGTGGGTGGAAGTTAGTGGGGAATTGGGGGATTTGGCGTTAGGCTAACTAGGGGTTAACGTTAAAAAAAAGTTTTAAAAGAAACTTTAAAAAGTTAAAAATTAAGCTTAAAAAAATGTTTTAATAACATTTAAGTAAAAAAACAAAAAAAAACACACTTTACCTAGTCCAAATAAAAATTAACCCCTTCCCTGCCAGTCGATCACTGCCTACAGCGATCAAATAGAGATCACAGTATTATACTGTGATCTAATTTTTTTTAACCCCTGAGGATTAACTTTTATTTATTTTTTTAACCCTCAGGGGTTCAATTTATTTAATTAATTAATTTAAATATTTTATAACTATATATTTTGCTAGCTGGGGTGGGTGGGAGTTATGGGAAAATGGGGAATTTACTGTTAGTGCTGCGTACTGCTAGTTAGGGGTTAACGGTAAAAAAAAAAAGCTTAGAAAAATGTTAAATCTGTAAAAAAGTTTTAAAGAAAGTTTAGTAAAGTTTAAAAAAAATTTATAAGCAAAACAAAAGTTTAAAAACTAGTTTTTAAAAGTAAAAAAGTTATAAAAAGTAAAAAAATACATTTTAAAAACGCTCATTACCACTACACCTGGAACAAACTAGAGAAAAAATTATCCCACGCCAAGGTTCAAAACATGCCTTTTGAATTACCCCAGTGTGTATTCTTTAATAAATAGTATGTGTCTGTGGGGAAGTTTCAATAACCAACCGTCTAAACTACTCCAAATTGGAACATGGACACAGCGTAAAACTTCAAAGTTAGAAAAAAACTGAATGGCTGCGTCTCAAATGCGCCCCTTCAACATCCACATATACCTGGCAAAGGTACATACGGGGGTATTGCTGTACTCAGCCGACATAGCTGAGCAACATATGAAGTATTATACAGTCATAGTACACATAAGGTTTGCAAAATATGCTGCGCAAACTCACTTTGTATGTCAAAAAGGCAGAAAAAATGCTTATTACCACTACACTTGGTACAAGCTAGCGGAAAAATGATCCCACGCTAAGGTTCAAAATATGCCTTTTGAAATACCCTGGGATGTCTTCTTTAAGAAATGGTATGGCTTTATGGGGAATTTGGATTATATAGCCTGGTAAAATACTCTAAAATGGGACATAGGCACAGCATAAAAATTCAAAGTTTGAAAAAAACTGGAATGGCTGTGTCCCAAATGTGCCCCTCCGATGTCCACACATACCTGGCAAAGGTACATACGGGGGTATTGCTGTACTCAGCCGACATAGCTGAGCAACATATGAAGTATTATACAGTCGTAGCACACATAAGGTTTGCAAAATATACTGTGCAAACTCACTTTGTATGTCAAAAAGGCAGAAAAAACGCTTATTACCACTACATCTGGTACAAGCTAGCGGAAAAATGATCCCACGCTAAGGTTCAAACTATACCTTTTGAAACACCCTGGGGTGTCTACTTTAAGAAATGGTAGGCCTTTGTGGGGTAGTTTGAATTTAAAACCTGCGAAGATGCTTGGAAATTGCACATAGGCACAGCGTCAAAATTCAAAGTTTGGTAAAAACGGATATGGCTTGGTCTCCTATATGGCACTGTAGCTTCACAAAATAGTGACAAAGATATTCATTGGGGGTGTATTTTTACTCAAAAGACTTAGCTGAGCATAATTTGGGAGGTTTGAACTTAGTGGCACATATGAAATATACAAAACGCCCAGCAAAAATGCAATCCGTATGTAAAATATGCACAAAATAA